ATTTTGCCCATTATTTTCCTACTTTTTGTTATATACCTTTCTCCGCATAATCATTTTCTCTTTGTAGATCCTTTGGGCTTGAAGTACCTCAGCAAGTGGCTATAACCGGCCGCGTGGTTGTGGTTAGATGATGTCTCCTTGAAAATTCGAGGTCTTCTAGCCGTTTTGTACTAATTGTACTAATTGTAGTACACATTGGTGTAGGTTGGCTCTTGATGTGGACTTCGTGTGTCGTTTTTTTTCCCTCTCCATCTCCGTTTCCTCAGGTTACACCCGTATCCGGATGTGTGGGCATGTGTTACTACTTTGGTAGTTTCATATGTGCATTCATTTCAGGCCTGATGAAGCCAACCAACAGAAATACGTAACCGCTCGGGTTACCTATCCTATTTTCTGCTCGAATCCACTTTCCTCCTTTTTGCGGATTTTGCCCATTATTTTCATACTTTTTGATATACAGGGTGACTTTGAAGTTGAGTCATTAATTTTCAGATAATGATTGTAGAAGGAAGATAAACCAAAATATGTGTGTAAAAATAAAAAAAAAATTAAAAAAAAATTTTACCTTGTTTTATAAAGTATCCTCCCGACAAGTATTTCAGTGCGGACCTGTATTTGATCGTGAGGTCCCCTGTGAGGTCTTAAGTCACCTGATTCACGAGCCCGTTGTACTACATTAACAAAGGCACGAGGGGTTGGTTGCACTCGATTGGGAAACCCATCCGCATAAACATGTGCCATTTTTTATTTCACTATTCACACGCGACTGAAACTGACTGTATGTATAACTGAACTGAATTGTAATCGTAAAAACATCGTTCCAAATTCTTTCGCTTTTTTGTTTCCGATGCGATGAACCGTTGTTGCCAAACACGAACACATGATATTATTGAGACAGGGCGGTACTCAAACTTCCAAAGGGCTATAACTTTGTTACTTTAATTTTACCAGAAAAATGGTAAAGGAAAAAAACATTTCTTTTGATCAGATCTACACACTGTTAAAATAAATGACTCAACTTCGAAGTCACCCTGTATATATATATATATATATATATATATATAATTATATATTATGTATATATAGCTAAGTGGAAGAACTCGTCTTTGGGGAAATCGATAAATTATGCAAAGTATACCACATACACTTTATGCTATCATTATCAGGAGCTTAAAACAAATTTAACAAATAAATAGCAACCGTATTCAATTACAGAAATCTTCGCAACCTTCAATAACCTCAAAAAGCCAATGTGTTTAAAAAATGGTTATTTTTAAAAAAACTGGCCAGGCTGTGTATCACTTTAAATTGTCGCATTGCCTGTAAATCAGTTCCCACAATTAGTAAGAGTTTTTACCAAAATGAAGGATAGAGTCCCGAAGCTTAGCTTAACCAATACTGTCTACTCCATTAATTGTAATGGTTGCAATTTATTATACGTAAGTCAAACTTCTAGATCATTAAAAGGCAGAATTACATCACTCAAAAAGTGACTCCAGACTACATCCAGAAAGATGTTCTTTGGCTTCACATGTCAACATCACAGGACATTCTATGTGTTAAGAAGGTCCTTGACAGAGAAGAACACCTCTCCAAACGTTTGCTCTTAGAAATCTCACACATTTTTTTGACTTATAACAGTATGAATAAAAAAACTGATGTTACGTAACTAAGTGTAATCTACTGATATTTGTTGATCTGCGAAAAATTGGAACGTTAGCAGATATCTCCTAATATCGATTTTTAAGAGTAGTAAATATAATAATTTAATAGATAAAATCAACATTTAGAAAAAATCTTTTCTCCCTCCTGTTTTCTCTAGTGTAGTATTTTTTCACATCAATCAATTTTTCTGAGTAGCAACCCTTAATTTACAAAAAAAATAAAATAATTTTTTAAACTTCTCTATGACATCTTGGACTTGTATGGACGCTCCTCTCAAGTATCGCGCATACTATTTTTAGGTTGGTAACAAATGAAATAGACAAAATTCCCTAACAACTACTTACATGTTAATAATGTCAACCTCACACATCCCTTTCAGCCTCTTGACCACGCTTCTTGAGGTTATTCCAGGAAGTGGAATGGAAAAGTTTTAATAATCAATTAATTAGTAACGTTTTTTAAATCTGTTTGTGGTTATTAGTAAAATATAGCCATGGTTTTCAATAATATTTCAAGAAAAACCTCATAAATTTAGTTTTTGGTCGTCCTACCATGTGGTCTCATCCACATTTTCTAAGATCAAATTTTAGTACCAGTCTCGTTGACGTAGTAAGTAATAAAATTTGAATTAATTGAGTTTGGTTGCTATTTATTTTTTTAAATCTGTTTTTAGCTGCTGATGATGACAGCATAGACTGTCGAAAGCTCAAGTTGTAAGTTAAAAGGGTAAACTTTGCATAATTTGTCGATTTCCCCACAGACGAGTTCTTGCACTTAGCTAGTTGTTTGCGACAATAACTATGAATCATATACCTATATGCGCTTAGAAAGTACGATGCCTCGGCGGCGACCATGAATCAGAAACAGTGTACGAGAGATTAGCGTAAACAGTTGCAATAGCACTGCATCTATATCCAAGATTCAAAATGGGTTTTTTAAGGTGAACTTTACTTTCAAAATACTTCCGTTATTCTTTTAGACATCTACTGAACCTAGAAAAAGATTTAACATATATAGGTATCTGATTTGTGATTCAAGAAAGACCATCTTCCGAAGTATGCAGATGTCATTGCGGTGGTATTTTCATTATGATACGCCACTGGTTGAAATGCAATTATTTCCACGGCCGTAGCTATTTTTTTCCTTACCAGCTGTCTCTGTCTCCTGACTACCTGCCCCCTTTCCCCTGTATCCCCCTATAGCCCCACGGTACCCAATGGGTGTTTAGGCCTTAGGCCTTCATGGTAGTTGGAAAATAAAAAAAAAAATAAAAAAATGTTGGATAATAAACAAGTGAATAATCATAAATAAACGGCAGTGTCTATCCTCTATATATCGTCGGTGGATCCAACCGTAAAGCATTTTGCGTGTAATACGGTTATCTCGCTAGGCTTTTTTACCTAAATCGTATCTTGCCTGAGGTATCAGGAATGCAGTAGATCAAAATGTACGCGTGCATGACCCCTCGTATTTAAAGGCAGTTATGTTATGCTACTGTCTTCCATTTTGATATCCAACTATAGAATAACAGAGAAAATGTGCCGTTGGTGATTAAACCTTCTGCATTAGGAACGCCGTTACCGCACCGCGGTTCATACGCCGTGTCGTCAGTCGTTCTTACAATAATGGTAGGATGCCTTTATGGCCTCCTTGATTTTCACAGTCTTTTCTCGCCTTCAGAAAGGCTGTGGTATTTCCAGGTTTCTATTCTTCCAGGTCAGCGTCAGCGTTCTCTCATTGAGACGTTATGTTTTCTTTTTGAATTGTAGGAAATTTCAGGCTGCTAAAACAGCACGAGCAAAATTTGATGCCAGTAGATATTTGTGACATAACCTCGAAATAAAGCGCTGGCACGGAATAGCAAAAAAACTATGAAAATCAAGGAGGCCATAAAGGCGTCCTACATTTTTCAGCATAAACGTCGAAAACATTTGTCAATCCATGGCAAAGGCTTTTGTATTTGGTAGTCAAAGAACGCTGCTGCCTTACCGCTAAACGAGTTAGTAACTGTTTCTAGCAACATTTCAACATTTTCCAAGCGGTTTCCACCAAGAAATTCCATTGGAAAAAGATAGAAAGTCTGATGGTACTAAATTAGGAATGTATGCTGGATGATCCATTATTTCCCAATGAAACTGCGTCTGTGTCCTTGCCGCAACGTGAGGTCGCGCGTTGTCGTGAAGCAGAATGACACCGCTAGAAAGTAGGTCCCGCGGCGGTTTTCAATAGGGCGCCTCAGCTTTGATAACATTCCACAACACCTTTCAGCATTTATAACATTCAATCGGTGGATTTGCTGAGTAACGCAGCGACAAACAAAGCATATAGCCACGCAACCAACATCGACAGAGTCGTGAAACGTAATGACGGCGTAGTGCATTGATTCCCCTAGGGGTCTATGACAACCTGCAAGGGGTCTACGTCAGCGAAAAAAAATTTGGGGGTCCATGGAATGAATATGGGGGTCCACGATAGTGGATCTCAACACATACACTGATAGTACCTATTTACTCACATCATACTATCTTATAATATCAAAACATATACTTTATTTATAAAAGTACCTATGAAGTAAAAAAAATATTATATATGTTTATAAAATTGTGTAAGTCGTAGGATGTTGGTATTCGCTTTGTGGTCGCAATACATTTTGAACTTGTAAAAACCTGAGAGTCGCAGTCTCAGAGCTTCGCTACCTTGCACTGACATGTTCAATTCGTCACTCTATAAATACGAATGTGGGACAAATACGTTTATTCGTTACCTGAATCTTGAAAAGGAAAGTGCTAAGAAAATATTTTAAAAAATATAAACAGAAATTATAGTGAGTCAGTGTTACTTTGTTTGAGAGTGCTGAAGAATAGTAAGTGCATTGTTTTTTATTAAATTTTAGTTTTGTACCCGTAGTTAGCAAAGATAGATAAATTACGCCAATCATGACTTTAGTTATTAGTAGTTAAATATTCATTGATGCAAAATTACACGAGTACTCCTCAATAGTTTCTTTTTGAAAGTTTTAGCAATCGGTAATATAATTACAGTGCAATCTCCGTAATTCGAGCTAATTGTTGCAAGATGATTTTCGAATTATGGAATGTTTTCGGAAAAATCAAAAAATATTTTTAATATACTGCTGCTGGAACTTCCGTCTTATTTAAATAATTTAATTTTGCCCACAGATGACTGATGCCATGTCCGAATCTAAAAAGAAATGTAGACAGTACAGTGTTGATTATTTGAAATTTGGCTTCATTCCATCATTGCCGGACAAACAATCGCCTATGTGCCTTTTATGCAACAAAGTTTTGGGCAATGACGCTATGAAACCATCTAAGATCATCTGAGAAGATGCCACCCTGATAAAACAGAGAAAGATTTTAAATACTTTCAAACACTCAAAGATACATTTCAGAAGAGGCCTACACTGGACAGAATGTTCGCTTCGACGTCACAAAGAAATGATGATGGTTTGCGGGCGTCTTACAATATCTCGTTACTTATAGCAAAATCCGGAAAACCGCATACTATCGGAGAGAAGTTAATTTTGCCAGCCGTTGAAGAGGTTTTAAAAACTGTTTTACACAAACCTGCATCTGATATCATTAAAAGAATTCCCTTAAGCAACAATACTGTTGAAAGACGTATTGATGAAATGAGTTCTGATATTGAAGCTTCTTATGTAATTATTTGCAAACGACCCATTTCTCTATACAACTGGACGAGTCAACTTTACCTGATAATGCAGCGTTATTATTGGCATATGTTCGTTTTATTATGAATCAAGAAATCTACGAAGAACTGCTCTTCGCAAGAACTTTGATAACCGACACTAAAGGTGAATCAATATTTCATGTTTTGAAGGATTACTTCATTGAAAAAGCAATTCCTTTATCAAATATAATATCAGTAGCTACAGATGGAGCACCTGCCATGGTTGGACGTTATCGTGGATATATAAGCTATTTAAAACAAAATGTGTCAGGGGTGTTAGCAATACATTGCGTCATCCATCGACAACATTTAGTTGCTAAAAATTTGAGTGTTAGATTGCATGAATCACTTAATTTAGTCATTGATGCAGTAAACCGAATCAGAAGCAACGCGTTGAATACGCGGTTATTTGCGCAGTTGTGTGAAGAAAATGACGAACACTTTAATCAATTACTCCTTCACACTGAAGTACGCTGGCTGTCGAAAGGCTTATGTTTGACAAGATTTTTTGCACTTTTTGAGACTATTTTAGAATTTCTGGATACTAATGATAAAATTTTAAAAGAAAATTTAATGAAGAGAAAAACAGACATCGCCTATTTAACAGATTTGTTTACAAAATATAATATGGTTAATTTGCAATTACAAGGCGATAGTGTTAATTTGATTAAAACAAAGTCCATCTTATCAGCGTTTCTTGCCAGAGTTTAACTAATGAAGCAAAATATTGGACGTGGCGAATTTTCTCAGTTCCCCAATTTGTCACAGAAAAGCTGCCAGGAAGACGACGTTTCAACTTACGCTTAACATTTAAATGCCCTCTATTCAGATTTTTAATCTAGGTTTGAGGATATTTTGACTATGGTAATACCACCGTGGATAGTTAATCCATATGGTGACATAGAAGAAACGAATGTCACAATACAAGAGGAACTGACTGAACTAAGTACAAACGAAGAACTTAAGGTTCAGTTTAAAAACGGATATCAGCAATTCTGGCTGCAAAACAACATACCCGTTACTTATCCCGTATTATGGAATATAGCGAGGAAATTTTTAATTTCCTTTCCATCGTCATACCTAGTGGAAAGGGGGTTCAGCGCTGTTTCCAATCTCTTAACGAAAAAACGAAACAGACTGGACATCATTAGCCGAGGAGATTAAAGATTAACCCTTACAAAATTGACGCCAAATGTTGATAATTTATTATTAAAGCATCAGGTTCATCCTTCTCACTAAAAATACTGACTTATTGCTTATGTTATTTTATTTATAGTTTATTTTATGTTTATTGGGGACCAATAAATGCCCGCATTGGGAATAAGTGCCCGCATTGATTTTTTTAAAGAAGCCCCCTTTGTAGATTTTTTTTTTAAATTATTCTGAAAATTCAAGGATAGGTACACACTAAAATTCGTTAATTTTTTGCCTATTTTTAGATAACTTAAACGTATAAGAAGCGGAATTTAATCAAACTAACAGTGAAATTATTGTAGAACATACGTTTATGTTATAATTAATAAACGAACTCGCTTATTGTACTATTTTAAGTAAAAAACTTTTTTTTTATTTTTCACTTTTTTTTATTTTATCCCCCTTATTTTTTTTCAATGCGGGCACTTATTCCTAATGCGGGCTCTTATTGGTCAGACACCTGTTTATTTAATGTTACGTATTTTTTACATAACAGATACAACATTTTATTTTGAGTAGTTTTAATTTAAATTCAATTAATAAATGTATAAATTAACATGTGTTTTTACTTTAAGTTTTTAACACTAAACTTCACTACAGTTAGAAATTTACAGGAAATCAATATCAGGTAAGTAGGGGGTCTACCCAACACGGAAAAACCTGGCAAGGGGTCTACGACACAAAACAGTTTGGGGAACTCTGGCGTAGTGAAAGACCAAGCACCAAGCGTGTCTGAACGGACGTCATATGACAGAATGCGCGGCCACAATGCGCAATCGGTTACTACTTGGCCCTCGTAAATCTAAACAATTTTATATAAACCACTTGTGATGAAACAGAGATTGAAGACATTTGTCGTGAGGCGTATGCAATATGTTCAGTGGATCCCTGAAAACACATACACAGCGGGAGGTATAGACGTCGCAGGATCATATATAACACACTGAAGGTTTATTTTACGGACCAGTGCGCTTCCTCGGACGTGCTGATGTGGGATCCCACAGGGGGAAAGGAAGTTGTGGTTTTGAAGCAGTGGCGTAATAACTCTGCACTTTTCACGCAACGTTGTCATAGTTCATAAAGGATTATGTTCGGCACAAGTTAGATATTCTGAGAAAAATGTTTGCTAGGCGCATTGCCACGACTTTTTTTATAAATAAAATGAAATTGTGAAGTTTTTCCTTCCTTATTTTTTTTTAAATTAACAAATAAAACACGATAAATAAAATCAAATAGTCAGTCAATGCACAGCAGCTATCTAGTGGGGTGCAAATTTAGGCACTAGATCAATAAAGCGCAAAATTAAAATCAATTACTGAAGAAAAGGAAGCAGTTAGACGACTCTCGAAAAATGTAATGGAGTGAGCTCGAGAGAGGGTGCCAGACAAAACTAAGTACTCCCTAAAAATCTCAGTCGACAATAATCAGTATATAAATATTTATAAAATGGTTAATTGAAATGGTATTTTGCCTGTTTACATCGTTTTTTTTTTCTCAAGAGAAAGGGATGGTTCCCAGCAAAATCGGCTACAAGACAGTTACAAAACTTGAGGAGTACGGATAGTGGTTTTCCTCAATGCCTTTCCACTAATAGGAAGCAGATATTGAGCAAACTTCTTCATGACATGCATTAATGCACGTGGTCTGATGGTATAAAAAAAGAACTTACCGCTCAAGAGGTCAAAATCCCATGCAAATGAATGTAAAGTAGTACCAAACAACAACCAAGACGAACAACTACCAGGTAAGGTATACACGAAAAAGGGTACTTTCTTCATGATTGGTGTCCAATATCCCAAAATTTGGAAACCAACTGAAGGGCCGACACACATTCTCAACCAATGCTTTAGCAGGAAATGGCCGACACCAAATTTCCGGTCTTCCGCCAGTCAGTTAGTTGACTGTCAATCAATGACAAAAGTAGGAGGGCGTTGCATAACACCGTTGGTTGCCTATGGGCTGACACTAGAAACCCAAGTCAACGACATTTTATGAGAAACTTTCCGAGATCAATAAAATACTATAAAATTAGTGTGTAAGAGATTTCAACACAATACTCAGTCGCTAAGGATGACGGATATAATATGTGTGAAATTATACTTTCAGGATTAGGTAGCTTCGAGCTTAATAGAGCAAGAAATTATGAAATTTGACAAAAGAAAATCATTAAAAAAGGGTTTGGCCTAGGAATAAAAACTCTATCATTAATAGACATTCAAATTACTGGTAAGTGATCAAAATAGGAGAAAAAAATTTAAGTGATTTTGGCACGTTACAGCATGTAAAACAGAGACATTGAACGGTACCTTTTCCCTGCCCCATCGAAAATATCGTCAGTCCGTTGCCCCTTCCCCATACTTCACTGCTCGATGAAACCACTCATGAGATTAGGCAGCATGCAAGCGTAACAGTGATGGAGCGACACTCATGGGATAGACTGCGAACAAAATATTACAAAGCAGAATCAATACCACTGAAATAATCTTTTGGAGAAGATGTTCTAAAGAGACAACTCTAGTACAAAATGAAGATGTAAGACAAATGATGGATGCACATCCACACCACATAGCATCAAAACAACTTATATCGAATGGCTATATGGGAATAGCATTAGAAGAAAAAGAAATAAGTTGGGTTAAAAATATAGCTAAAACAATGGGAAAATACAGTTAAACAATTAACTATTGCAGAATGAAAACGGGATGCGATAAATGGTCAACGTAGCTGTAAAATAGCCGCTGTATTCTCATCAACAGGCTAAATATTTTCAAAAATAAAGAATCTTCCATTTGAATTTCAACATAGCAGAGTATCGAGGATACCAGTTCATCTCAAGGTTTCATATACAGTTAGGGTTACTTTAGTTTCCATAGTAAGTTACTTCTTCTTTCTTTGACCACCATGCACTATTTGTTATCCAAATCCGGAATAAAATATTCTGAAGTAGGTCGTTTACTGTAAAAAATCCGTCACAAACCATATGGCAAAGGCTAAATAAAATATGCGAAAACATTGTTATATTAATTCACCGAATTTTAGGTATCTCAAGAATGGTTAGACTTAGGTACAGGATATAAATGGAATGTATTTGGAATCTCGTGTAAAATCTAAATATCGAATAATATATAGAGTGTTCTTTTTGAAATAAGCAAGTCGACATTTACTTCCGCAAGGCTATTATGTGAAAAACTTATAAAACATCAAAAAAAGTGTCAACTTGCTGCCTAGATATACTATAACTATCTAAAACTGTAATGACTCATCGATGTTGACGTGAACATCACTTAACTACCAGTAGTCGGCTGTTCATAGGCGGGGTATGAATGTTTAACATGGGTGAACTAGATTTGTCACATGCTTCATAAAGAGTGGTTTGAAACATATTGTAAGTCAAAAATTTGGGAATTACCTTTATTCATCATCGCTTCCACTTACATCTGACAGTAATAAACTGTCGCTATCGCTTTCCTCGTTGAAATTGACTATAACTGGCTCTATGATGGTGTCGATGTGGTGGTCAAGCTGCCACATTTTTGTTTCTTCCTTCACAACATGACGGATAGCATTCTGCCAAGCTTCGGGCGTTACTAGCTGTATGGAAGTCTCAAGTAAAACCTTAACGTCTGGTAATTTGAAGGTTGTGTTATGGCGCGCAATATAACCCTTCACTTGAGCCCAGATGAGCTCTATTGGGTTTAGTTCACAGTGGTAGGGCGGTAACCGCAGCACAGTGACACCACATTGACGGGCCATCTCATCAGTCACGTAACTAATGTTGGCAGGTTTGTGCTGTTTAATTTTTTCATACAATTCCGCTTTCACACATGAATCGTTAAACGGGATTCCTTTTTCGCGCAACCATTGCTGCATGTCACTCTTTCGAGATCCCATAGTCGGTACACGTTAGGCTCGACGACTATGGTAGGAAGCATTATCCATGACGATCACAGAGTTGGACTCAACTCGCTGAAGCACCCCTTGAAACCAGCTCTCGAAGCAGCTGGCATTCATTTCGTCATGGTAATCACCTCCTTTCTTAGAGACGAAAATCAAGTCACACTCTTCTAAAAAGCCACTATCGCTACCAATATGAGTTACGATCAATCTTTGACCTTTCCCTGACGGTCCACGAAGACCTGTTGACAAACCTTCAATGCTTGCTTGTCGGTTACTCACTACGTTTTTGTCTATCCAGTTTTTTTTAACTGTGTGACCTGCATTTACCCATGTCTCGTCCAAATAATAGATTTTTCTGCTTTGTCGCCTATATTCAATCATTTCGCGTAGGTATTTTCGACGCCAGGCGACTATTTCAGGTCTCTCTATCAATACTGACTTCCGATTACGCGTTTCGTAACGAAAATTAATTTCGTGCAGGGATTTCCTCATTACCTCGACGCTCATTTGGGGTATAATTTCATTTTCATTGATCGCTGCATGTACAGCCTTGAGGGTTGGTATCTCATTCCTATAGAAGAATGAATGTACGGTTCGCCTTAACGCCATTTTGCTATCGT